TCCTGAGGCACCCAGCTTGTCCTGCTGCTGGGCCGTGTCCAGCTTTTCTTTTTGCTGTGTGCACAGGTACTGGGTGCAGGGAGCCACCGGGGCCTGTAGGTGACCCCTCTGCCTGCATCCTGGCATTTCCTTGGGCCTGCTGCATAATTCTCGCAGTGGAGACAGATACATGAAATGGGTACACAGGTGCACGGAGCACCCACTGCCTCCCCTCGCCAGATGCCCCACTGCCGTGGGCAAGTCGCCCTACCCCCTGTACCACCCAACAAGCTACAGAGCCCTACTACGTCACCATGATGCTTCATGGCTTGGCTTTTTCCTTTGAGAGCTGACACCTCCATGGGAGCCACCCACAGCCTTTTACTGCAAGAGCAAAACGGCCTCCCAGTTGTATCACCCCGCAGCACCCTCCCACTACCTCCAGCTGGACAGTCATTCAGATTCCATGCATGAGATGCACCCAGGAAGCTTGTTCACAAAGCAGATTGCTGGGGTTCCACTTAGATTCTGAGGGGTTCAAATTGTTCTTTTTCAGTGTAGGAACAGGCATTTTATGCAAGCACCCCAGGTTCTGATCCAGGTCTTCAGATTCTTAAAAACCCAAAGAGGCTACTGTCAAACAGATGGTGGCTTCCCTACAGCAGTGGAGACCCTAGACCTTCCAGCTAGAGAAGGTGGGGAACAGGCAGGCCCCAGCATTTGGTTCAACTTCGAAACTACACAGAGGTCTCACTCTGTGCCTCTGCACGCCTACCCCTTCTTCCCTAGCTTCCTCCTTAGCAAACTCCCACTCTTCTCCAAGGGTGAGCCTGGATGCCACCTGACACCCCAGACTGGGTTCTAGTCTTCATCCTCCCCAAGCACCCCTCCATAAATCATCTTCAACTCATCTGATATAACAACTAGGAGTCATGACTACTATGCGCCAGGCATTGCGCCAGGCATGGACACTAGCTCACTGAGTCCTAACTGAGGAAGAAACAGTTACGGCCCCGTTTTACAGAGCAAGAAATAGGCATGGGGTGGGGGGTGGGTAACAGCTGGTAAGTGGCAGGACAGGGATGGGACTGTGGCAGGCTGGCTCCGGAGTCCCTGCTTTTTCCCACCCACTGTGCCTCCCACCTGCCTGGTGCCCTGCACGCTATATTCCAGCCTGCTCCCGACCTTCCTCCACAGATGAAGTAGTCCTGTGGCCCCAGGGGATTAAACTCCCAACCTAGGTTGGAAACTCAAAGGTCATTTGCTGAAGCACCAAGCTTTACCTGTTCAGCACACTACATCAACAAGGAAAGATACAATTCATAAAACATCAGAGTGAATTGACCGTAAACAGGGTCAGGGCCAGTGAGCTGCCTAGTACCATACTTGGCAGGGTGCAGACACCAGTGATGGAGAGCACAGCGCCCCCTACCTCTGCATGGCGCTGACTTTCAGGAAGTCTCACTGCTTTTCATCTGGGCCCCACAGAACAGGTCTGACTCCTTTTGCAGAAAGAGCTCTTTAGTTATTAAAGATAACCCTGGTTTCCACATCTGCAGGTTAACTACCCCTGTCCTATCTGGAATCTGAATGTTCCATCCACTTTTGAATCTGCGTAGGTAAGTTGGGGCCCTGGCCAAGAGCTGGCCCCCAGTATAGGTGCTATGTGTTCCTCATTGCCAGTGCACTCAGATTAAAGGTACCTGGATGGGTGACATGGTTCCAAAGCTGCTGCCCTACTGGCTGAAGTGCTGAGGCCCTGAGAGCCTTGTGGAGCCCCAAGAGCCCGGGTTTCCAAGGACAGTACATTATGATGGGAATCTGTCTGGTCTGCTTAAAAGACTGACTCTTGGCTATGCCCTATATGAGTCAAGGGTTTCCCCAAAAGTTTCCAGAAGTTTAAAAGTTCCCACAAGCCCTCAGTTCTCACTCTAATCTTGCAAAATAACAATGACTTAACTCTATTTTACAAAACAAACTGGGGCTTCCATTAGCCAAGTTTCTCCCAAAGTTCTGCGCTTCCACTAAGTGCGCAAAGCCAAAATCATTAGCCATCTTACAGAAAAGGAAACAGGGCCGCCCGATGCTTCGTAAAGAAGCCGACCATCAAACCCAAGGCTGTGACTCCGGAGTCTGCCATGCCGCCATCTCGGGAATGCCAGCTGAGACTTGGGGAAATGAACACAAAGTAGGCATTAAGGAAACCCTGGAGCAGAGCAGGGAAGTGGGGGATGATGGAGGAGCAGAAAGATCCGAAGCATAACTCATGACTCACAAGCTTTCACATACCAGCAGACTTTCTCTGTTGTGAAAAAAGGAGTCCTTCAATTTGAGAAATTACTTTTCTGCTTGTTTGTATTTTAATGATAATACCATCCAGGATGTAAACATACAAAACAGATGATTTTTTAATTAAGGATTATTAGCACACAGTAAGCCATTAGCAACTTTAAGGTGAACATATTTTGAGAAAATACAAACTGGATCTGAATCTTTTTTTCCTCCCTTCTTACTGTCTCCACCCTCACAATGCCAAACACACACTAAGCACCTAATAAATATGTGGGGGCTCACTACATACTTTCTGTACCAAGAGGAAGAAATGCTTATTTAAACAACTGGATTTCTGAATCCAAACCCAAGTCATAACGTTTTCACTTTCAAAACACCAGAACAAAACTAAGACAAAATAAAATAGACGATATTTTAGACAACAAAACCAGCCTCTGTTTACTTAAAGCACAAGAAAAGCAAGATATATTTGATGATCTAAAATATATTAAGGTAATTCTATCTTCTAACTTAGTGTTCAGAATTTAGTTAAAAGAAATGATGAAGAAAAGTCCATATATTTTAGGGTAAGAAAAATACATAAATCTTTGTACTATGAATTAGTGCAGTTTCTTGCAGTTTGATAACAAGTAACCAATAAAACATTAAGTAATGAAGCAAATCAATTCTATTTCTATAGAAACTGGGTAATTCCAAAGTGACAGTTTACCTAGAAGTAGAAGGGTAGTGAGAATGTCCATTTCTTTATATCCGAACTCCAACGTATTCCAGAATAAAGCACTCAGATCCAGCCCGGCTAGTTTTACTCTGAAAATTTTTCCTTAAGAAATGTGTCTGAAAATTTGCTCTCTTAAAACAGAGGTACTTTCAAAAGAGTTATATAAGCGAGACACACAAGCTCATTCAGTGACGCAGAGACCAGCTCACCCCCGAGAAATGCAGCGAGCACAAGGAACCCACATTCACCTCTTGGACTCTGCCAGGGGTTCAGGATAAGCTTCTGTTGCTGTAACGTCACACCTCTTTGGCCAAACGATGGAAAATTTTTAATGAAAAGTTATAAACAAACTACTGAAAGTCACAGCATACTTCTTGGAAAAGATTCATATTTTGCAGTTCATTAACCATCTGGAGTACTTTTAAACTGTGTGAGTGTGCGTGTGCATGTGCGTGTGTGTGTCGGGGGGGCGGGGGGGATACTGGAGATTGAACCCAAGGCCTCTGAAACAATTTTGTAAGTCCTGCATATTGAGCTCCTGTGTTCCTGCTGCCTCAACGTCCCAGAGTGCTGGGATTATAAGCGTGTACCACCACACTTGGTTTAAATTTCTTATACCAGCCTTTTTTTTTTTTTTTTTTTTTTCAATTCTAGAAGGCTAATGAGTATTTTTATTTTTAGTTCTCTTCCTTACTGGAAATAGCCTGTCACATGCCCTGGAGGTGTGCCTGGGAGTATGTCACACTGAAGGTAAATCAGGCAAAATGCTTGAAGCCTCCACCCTCTGAACCACTACTCCCAATGCCAAGTCCCCCCACAGCCTTTGCGCATTTGCATATTCCACTTACTGAGCCACCTGCTCTCTTTACTGTCACTCCCATGAGCTGTCCCAGGCAGTGGTGGGTGCCAGTGCTTTGTCTCCCTAGTGTCAGGCTGAGGTGGTAAAGTAGAGTAGTTGGATAAAAGCAAAACTCTCCCCATTGTTTGGATATTTTCTTAGCTTCAAGCACACAGTCACAGAGGGGGAAGGAGTAAGGGTCAGCCTCACTTGGAAATAGTCACAAGATATCTACTGTGCGCTGGTTGCTAGGAAAAAAGGGAAACGGTACATGGTCCCTGCTCTCAAGCCAGATCGTCTTTTGGAAGTATATCACATAAAAATGGAAAATGTTGACTACATGGTTAGTGAAAAAGGAGCATCCTAATGTGTATCACAGAAGCACCACACCCTTGGACATCCATGGAAGAAGGCTCTTGATAGAGAAAAGGCAAGGGTGAGGGACTGGCGTGGGGTCAAGGGACAGAGGGCGGCAGGAGCTGGGCATAGACACAGGCTGCTCTTGTACAGAATAGGCTACAGATGACCACAGGCCACTACATATAGCCTACAACCAGGGAGCAGTGGGGCTGGTCTACACCTGGGGGTGGTCACCAATGTGAGGCATGGCCTGAGCACAGGGATCTCAGTAAAGGATACTGGATAGGAGGCCTGCAACTGGCTTCACCAGAGAGCGCTGGCCTTGTCACCCGAGTTCCCATGCCCAGGGACCTAAGTCTGATAGCAGTGATCTCATCGCTCCACCCTAGCCCACAGAACTCCAACCCTACATGTTACGGAACACTCAATGGGCACTGAATCCCCCAAGGAGCCAACAACAGGCCAACCACCTTTGCTCTGTGTGCCTTGACAAGAGACATGACGATGGGCTGCTCAGAGGGGCGTGGAGCTAAGATTCTGGGAATAACTAAAGAGATGAGGAATCAGTGCAGAAGTGTGAGCTCTTGAGTCTGCCCTGTGGTTTAATATCCCTGCTCACAACTACCTGTCATGTTAAAATGAAAAACATAAAACAATACAAAAGATAATAATAAAGAGACCTCATTGTTTTAAATCTCATCACTCATTTAAGAAACAAAGGCTTCGGAGCCTCTGCGATTCCTACAAACTTGGGTCTGGCATTTCCCCACGAAGCCCCTCCCATCCTAGGCCTGTGCTGCCCATTGGACTCACAGAACTGAAGGCTGAGGCTGAGGAAGGCCAGCAGTGCAGCCAGGGCCAGCAGCAGCAAGAAGCGATTCCGGAAAAGCATTATTATTCGTTCTATTTCCTCTTCATGATTTCACCTCAAAGCGGGAACCAGTCCTGCAAATAAAGTAGAGGCAACAACCAAGTTCAGGGTGGAAGACCAAGTTTGTCAACTGCAAATAATCCAGTTAGCCCAGTCCTCTGGCAGGGAGGCAGGACTCCTTAGCTGCAGAGTAATCACAGGCTCTGTGAGTCTTTGCCCCCAGATAAACCAAAAGGAGGCCACTCCCATCAAGTCAATAAGAGGAAACCAGTCCCGGAATACTCTATTCATCTGATATCAACAGGGAATAAGTATTTTACATGCACTTCCAGAGAAAAAATATAGGATATTTACTGAGCATGGTCAGTGTGCCAGACAACACTGGCCCCTACTATGTAGCACCTCTAACCATTACTTTGGGTGAACTTTTGCTAAGATAAGTTAGGTCTTCTCTGAGTGGAATCATTAATCTGAACATCAGTCACTGTGATGCAACAGGGATGGCTGGAAGGTACTAGAGGATTTGCTCCTCCTCTATCCAGCCCCTTCTGCTATTAGAGGCCTTGTTCACTCAGGACTGTTGGGCTTATTTCAGTTGCATCCACAGATCTTCCTGCAGCCCCACCCTGCCTACTTCAATTCTCTTTAGTTATATTAGAACTACCCAAAAGGATTTTAAAAATGCTGAATGCAACCCTAAAAGTGAAGAGTGCTATAGGTCTTATCCTGTCAGTCTTACCTATCAGTTTATTTCCTAGTTCTCCTTGGGGTTTCAATAGAACTTGAGAATTAGTCTCTTTAGAAAAGGTTCTTAAACTGCAGTAAAATAGTAAGTTATTTCTAACTTCAATCTTTCATTCCCTCTGATAGAATCAGATAAACGCTCATCTGTTAATGTAGTGAGGATTGCCCAACTCTGAATATACTGGAGGCCACCAAATTGCAAGTCTGGGGCAAACTGTATTACAAAAACTTGAAGCGGGAGCCAGAGCTATACAGCCCCTGACTTCTCAGTCTCCCCATGGTCCCTGCATGGGAATTTGAAAACCATCTCCTTAAAAGGGACCTATCAGAACAGCCTTTTCTGTTTGGCCAACGTCCCGGAGGATAAACATGGATGTGACAATGGTCACTTCCAAACTCTGGCCACAGTGTTTTCAAACCTTGCTCCACTTGAGTAAAATGCTGATGCTTTGTACTGGCTGCCCTCCCATCCGGAGGCAGGAGCCCCTCACGCAGGAGCCAGGGGCTCCTAACTTCTCATGTCATTCATTTCATTGGACTCCCACTCACTGAACAGAGTGTGAGCCAGCTCCCACATGTGCCCCTGACACTGCCCAGCTTACACTCTGCCAGGCAGGCACTGCACTTCCAGCATGCAGACAACCCTGAAAATCAGGGGCACAAGCTTAGGTGATGGTTCTAGGATGTGAAATGAGATCTCTGGGCCATGACAGTTTCATATGCCCACCCAGCAATTCCACTCCAAACCTGTTAAGCAATACAGAACAAATGTACTTCTCAGACACTCCTGCCTCCGTAGCCTGTGGAGGACCCCTGGGCAACTCTCCTTGAAGGAGAACAGTTGTCTCCATTTGGGCTGAGCCTGACCCTATTTCCATGTATTACCATGTACAGAGCTGGCTGAGGCTTTTCCTTATCCCCTCAGGTGGCTGTAAGCAATGCATATTGGTCCAGCTGACATGCTAATGGTAGTCTTTGAAGACGGTAGGCAGTGTTTCCCCAGACATCCTCACCCCATCCATTGTTCCCTTGTGTGAGCAGGGACTCAGGATAGGGCCTATGACTTTTTGGGGCTTGAAAGATTATACATTAGAGCTGACACACTGACCCCAAAATATCAGATACTATCTCAGTTGTGTTCTGTAGATTACTCTTTCTGCATATCCTTCTTTCCGCTTACTGCAGAGGTGATTTCAGGCCTCCTACCTAGACCAGCTCACCATTCTCACAATCACTCACCCTCAAGTCACTCCCTTTCTTACAAATTATATAACCCAAGTTTGATCCTGGGTTGAGGCCTTTGTTCCAATTAGCCATCACTGTGGCTGGACTTAGGACTCCTTGGCTCCCTATGACTACAGATACGCCTCAGTGTCTTTATTCTTGACATGGGTTGCACTAGAAGTGGGAGATTGGAATTAACTCACTTGAATTCCAATAACTTTTCCATGGGATTACAAATGCAAACTTCCTGGGCCTTGGGGAGGACCAGAAAGGACTCTCTGTAATAGCCCGTGTATCTCCAAATGCCACAGGCCTCAGGGTGGCTCAGCACCTCCATCGCTGCCAACAGGATCTATACCATCAATGGCCCCATTAAGGATCCTTTTGATTCAAAAGGTGAGTAGAGACACAGAAGAGTATTAGAGCAAATTTAATTGCTTGGTGTCTCTACATGGCCAAGAGCAAACATGTTAGGTGCTTCATGGTTCCTCTACCACTTTCTCTGGAGGTTGACATCACCTCTGAATACTTCTGTTGTCCTTTCCATGCACATCTCCTGGAGTTCCTGCCTGGGAGGTGGCCTCTGGGGTCTTCCAAGTTCTGTGAAAAGTGTCATATTAGAAGCAGACCTGCTGCACCAGGATGCCAGGTCTTATGGCACCATTTTGGAAGTCAGGTGCAGACAAATCCATAGTGCTATAAGTTCCAACATGTCACAGGCTCAGTGACTTAGTTACTTGGCCTACCTGAATCTGATTTCCTCATCTGGAAGTCTGGATTAAGTTCCTCAAGATATAGTTAGAACCAAACTTAAACCAAGTAGAATCCCAGCATACAGAAGGCTTTCCAGAAATGATGGTTGTTGCCAGTTTTCTGTTCACATTGTTGTTGCTTTGTTCCTCCTGGGAAACAGTGTTTTGGATGGAGTTCCTTGGCAAGTTTTTTGGCTCCTCTGGGCACATACGCACTCAACATTCGTGAGTCCTCACCCACATCCTTCCCTCTGCAGCTCTGGCTCACATCCTGTCTTTGGGCCTCTCACCCTAGGCTTGGTGTGATGCTTTGGGTCTGGATGTCCCCCAAGCCTCATGCAGTCATAGGGTTTTTTCAGAGGTGGCTGAATCCAGAAGGTGTGAATGATTCATAATACAGTACTAGGATTAGGGGTGCTGGGATAAAGGGTGGGTGATTGCTGAATCATTGCATTGGCACTGCCCTAATCCCAGTACACTACATACAATATCAGGGACAGAAAGAGGTGTGTCTGTGTCTTGCTCTCTCTTGTTGCTCTCGCTGTTTTCCAATGCCATATGCTGTTGTCCCTCTGCCATGCCACACTGCTTCAGAGCTAGCCTATTATGGACTGAAACCTCTATAAACTGAGCTAAATAAACTTTTCCTCTATTACCTTTGAGTGTTGGGTATTTTGTCTCAGCAGCAAAAGAAACAAAACTAGAACACCTGGGACCATGGCTGTCTAGATAGGATTCCTTGCTTTAATGCCTTGCCTCAGAGGCAGACCTATCTCTAGGTGGTTCTGTATTTACATGTAGGAGGGGCCTTTCATGTGCAGCTGGTCTTCACCTAGCCCTTCAGCAGCTTTCTGCTTGTAGCTCTTTAGGGGATTTCCCACCTCAGAGGCTGGCAGATGTAGCCACCAAGCAACTATGCTGATTTCCTATGACTTTAGCTATCACTACCTTTTCATATAGGGCTTAACCATAATGTAGGTCAGTGTTGCCTTTCAATGGGCATCAGGGAGAAACAACTGCGACTTGTTGGGTTAAACTTCAGGTTTCCATAGCATGGTGGATTTCTTGCAGTAATGGACCCCAACTTGCTGCCCTTTTCTGTATCCTTGCCCTTACGCAGTCTCCTCCCACACCAACTCCTGGGTGGGGGCAGGGATCTGTTTTGGCCAATGGGACAACAGCACATATGCTGCAAGCTGAGGCTTGAAACATTATTTATGCACTGGGGCTTCGTTTTGTTTGTTACTTTTGGAACACAGACACCGTGTAGGATGTCCAGGTTCCTTTCCTGGAGGATGAAAAGCCATGTAGAGCATAGACAAGCAGTTTCTGCCCACGCTACCTTCAAAAACTAGTCTATCAGTCATCAAACATGTGAGTGAGGCCACCCTAGACCAGCGGGCTCCAGCCAAGCCACCGGCTGATGGCTATCGGGAGAGAATGCCCAGCCTAGAAGAACCACATGTGGCTGACCTATAGAAATGCAAGCGAATATAATGGTTATTGTTTTAAACCAATACATTTTGGGAGCATGATACAAAGTAGACACTAACTGATGCAATAAAGGGAAAACGCTTTGCATCTTTACCAGGAAATTCAAAGCCAGCATCTAGATTTCCATAATCACATTTTCAGGCACCACATGCAAATCTCTATCTCATCTCGATTCTTTAATACAGTGAGTTGCTTTTGGGGAAAGGGGCTATATTTAGTTCAGATGTAAAATACTGAGGGTATGTTGGGTTAACCAGATGGCTGCTTCTAGTCTTTGGATTCCTGTCATCTATGCCCATCTATGGCTTTTTCTTAATAAATAGTGGGGACATCCACTGCTTCCCCTTGACACTCTCGAGGTTTGTGAATCCCCCTCCTTCTGACTCTCCTGAATTTTCCAGCACAGGCCCCGTTACTTTCATCCATACTAGTAATCAGCCTGGGGTGATCACAGTCCTAGCTTTGTTACACAACTCAGAGGAATAACAAACTCTGGCACAAACACATCATCTTTTAGAGTCCCTTTCACTAGAAGACACGGAAATGAAGGCCAAGCTTTGTAGTTTTAAAAAATGGCTAAATAATGATGACAGAATAAAAACTTTGCATGGATTTGATTTGTGCTGGCAGCTGGAGGTAGGGGCAGGCGTGTGCATGCCTGCATGTGTGCGTGTTCACTTGAGTGTGTATGGTTGTCCCATGCAGGAACTGCAGTGCATGGTTCTGCCACTGTGGGTGTGCCTCCACAGGGGAAACTTCTTCAGTGGAAAGGGACTGAAAGGACCCCCAATGGTGTGAGAAGGATGTTACAGTTTGTGTCTAGTTGTCCCCCCAAAGCCTCAGGCAGTCATCGGCTGAAC